AGGCAGCGTGAGGCAGACGTAGTTTTGTGGAATTTCTTTTTAGAAACAGATATACACATAGATACTTTTTGGAAAGAAGAAAAGCTAATCTTGCTTTATTTAAGAAATTTATGCATAGTTATTACACTTTTTTATCGATTATTTTGCTTCTGAATATTTGGTTGGTGTTCTCACATGAATTTGTAGTAGAAGAAATGTTGAGCCGGCTTTTTTTTTTATTCAGACATATTTCTACATGCATTTTCTATGGGCATGCCCAATTTCAACGAAAAATAATTGGTAGCAGATAGTTTAAAATGTATTATATTACTTATACCACTTATTTTAGGTAGCCTTAGGTAAACGTTTTTTTTTGTGTTTGTTTTAAGAAACATGCATAAACATAAATAATTTCATAAAGAAAAAAGGTAGATCTAGATTTTTATATGACTTTTATGCATGGTTACCTAACATTTTTATGTATTATTTTGCTGACAATATTGCATGAAAATATTGTCCCTGTTCTCACATTAATTTAATGTCGAATGAATGTTGAGCCGGCTTTTTTTGTTAGTTATCCTATATTTTACATGCATTTTCTAAGCACCTGCCAAAAATCAACGAAAAATAATTGGTAGCAGATAGTATACTAGGTGTTAGACTTTTGGTACATAATTTTGGTTTTTCTGTTGTTTTTTTTCGTTAAGCTTGTTACGGGTGTGGAGAGGGGGGCCGACTATACAAAAACAACAAATCCTAATATCGTATTATTTTGAATTTTATTTTTAGATTAAAATAAATAATGAATACTAACAGAGATGTTGCTAGATCTATCACAGATAGTTAGTTTAATTTCTTTTATAATAATATCAATAATAACTATTTTAAATCAAAAAAATATTTATATATCATTTGTTAATATTTTCTTATTTAAAATTCTTTTTTATGTAACTATAATTTATTTGTTTTTATATTATAAAAACAGATTAATTCTTAATCTGTTTTTATATGTTACATTAAAAAGAAGATTAATGCTTCATTTTAAAACTTTGCTTTTGAATGTATTGTTAACTATTAGTATCTGTTGTCAATTTTATTATGACACAACATACAAATCAGATAATTCATTGGTTTATTACTTGCAAAAATCTTGTTAGCATTTTTCAAATATAATAAAACTTATCATCTTATTATCATCTTTTATTATTTTTAGATTGTATACTTCTTTATCTTTAGATTATTATTTAAATCATAATACAAGCATGCCTAATGTTTACATGTTGTTTAGATCCTGCGGCACATTATAAAGCTTTTTTGAGATATCGTAAGTATAAATCACATATTTTATATATAACCACAACCAATATAATGTAATTAATAAACAAAGTGAATAACCATTCCTAATGTTAGCTTGTTGTTTATTAATATATTTTCTTTACATTTTCACTGTTAGTTTTCATTATGTTAATACAGTTGTTGCATCTTCCCCTTAACTATGATTCTTTCATAATTTCATAGTGTTTTGTTGTAATTATACACTTTTTTTTTTATTTTTAGTTCAATCTACCCAGCCTACCACAGGTAAGTTAGTAACCTACCACAGGTAAGTTTGCATAGGATAACTAGATTATCAAATATAAGAATGTATATTTTGGTTTAATTTATATTATTTTTGATCTTCACTCCTTTTATCAGTTGCTACGGTTAGTTATTTTAAAAGCTAGTACTTTTTAATCTGTAAATAGATTTAATACTAATTTCAAAATCGTCAATTGTAAAATTTATTTTTTTTATTACTTTTTTTACCTTTAGCAACATCTTCATCTGCAATTAGTGGTAAGTTTAGCAATTATTAATTTTTAATTTTTGCATTTCTTGAACATTGCAAATTTATTTTTTATTAAAACTTTTTAGCTCTAGTTCCATCCTCAATTGCATTGAGTGGTAAGCTTAAAAATATTTTTATTGCATCCTTCAAAAAGCCTGTTCATGTATGTATGTATTTCGGATCAATTGCAATATTAATTTTTCATTACACTTTTTTTTTAACTTAGTTCCATCTACATCTGGAATAATTGGTATGTTTACAAAATTTTACCTTTTTCATATGTTTATGCATTTCTTAGCAATCACAATATTTATTTTTATTTCAACTTTGTTAACCTTTAGTTACATCTTCAGCTGCTACAAGTGGTACGTTTATAAACTATTATTTTCTAATATGTGTATGCATAATTTACATGTGTAAAAGTATTTTTTCTAATATGTGCATGCATATCTTATCGATAGCAAGTAAATTGTATTTTTATTTTAAAAAAATTTTACCTTTAGTCCCACAACCTCTACAACAATCAACACAACCTTCTGCTGGTAAATTTACGATTTAGAAATGTTGCTGAATGATTATTTAATTAATTATATTTTTATTTATATTCACAAATTAGTACATTTATATTATGTTATCCTTCAAAGTGCAGTAGAAGTAAAAACCCAGAGCAGTATTTGATTTTTTACTTTAATTAACATTTTTTAAGCTATCATTAACTTATTATTTGTTAATTTTATTAATGCAGCCAATCAAATATTTGGTTTGTATTATTTGTTATTTTTTACCATTTAATACTAATGTAGTAACAATTTATTGTCTTTTAGAGCTTACCTATGGTGCCTATAGAACATATAGGGACCAGCACCCTGGACCGATGAGCAATCGATCATTTTTGCGGTGGATCCGGTTAGGAGAGAATGATGGTGAGTCATTCAGCTGGGCCTATCATCCTCCTAACAGAGGTGCTGGAAGCTCCAGCAGAAGAGGAAATCGTGGAGGAGGTCGTGGGCGAAGACGGAATGGTGGCGTCCTTGTTGTGAATGGTGGCATCTAGTATTACTAGGCGCCACCACTCCTTTATTTTTTTTAAAATAAATATATAACATTATCAAGTTTGTTTTCCATTTTGTCCGAATTTTTGCAATTATTAACATTTGATTTATTTAATTTAAATCTTTCACAAAATGGTTTAAAAGCAAAGCATTGACAGATGTAGTAGTTTGCAAGGGACCTGTTTTGTATGTTTTCAATGTAATTAAAAGTTTTAGGATTTTTTGAGGTTTTGAAATTTTGAGGTTTTCTCATAGCCTATATTAAATGCAGTTTCAAATTTATATGTTATGTTTTATTGAGTTGATAAATGTTTAATATCTTTTCCATACCTAATTACTGTTTTTTATTTTGTTTGGTTTATATACTTTTTTTTTAAGTTAAGAATATTAATTGGTTTTAAACCAGTTTAATTGTTTGATTGTAAACCAGGTTAACTTATGTTTACAGTTCCTAAATATTATAATTACGTAACCATTACTTGTTTGCAGAAGGTATGTATGAGATTTTTTTTTACATGTTGTATTATAATGCTATTAATTATTAACAAATTTTTATATATTGTTTGTTTACTTTTCAAAAAATTAAATTAAAAATATGGTATATTAACTCTTTGTGTAAATATATATATATATATATATATATATATATATATATATATATATATATATATATATATAGGTTCAAAAAAAAGTGGAGTTATGTTTGCGGATACAGTAAAAAAAGATTGATCTTACATATGGTGCAGAAGGGGATATCACCACGGAGGAGGGCGTAGGCAAAGAAAGAATGGTAGCAGTTGAAGAAGAAGTTTTTTGTTTTAAAAATATATATTTAACATTATCAAGTTTGTTTTCCATGCTGTCTTAATTTTTACAATTATTAAAGTTTAATTTTTTTTCCAAAATAATTTAAAATCGAAACACTGACAAATAAACTAGTTTGTAAGAAAATATTTTTTTTCAATGTCTTTAAAAAATGTTGTATAAAAATTATTAAAGTTGTAACTATAAATAGTTTTCATATTTTATGTACTAAAAGAATTTTTGAAGGATTTCCTAGCCCATAATAAATATAATAAATATATGTGTAACTTTCAATAGTTGATAAATGTTAAGAGTCTTTTGCATTTGTACTATTTATATTTTATCTACTAAAAGAATTTTTGAAGGATTTTGTAGCCCATAATAAATATAATAAATATATGTGTAACTTTCAAAAGTTTATAAATGTTAAGAGTTTTATACATTTTTACTATTTATATTTTAGTTTACTGAAACTGTTTCTTTGACATTCATTAATCCAAAACTTGTTTGGCTTATGTTTACAGTTCCTAAAAATTATATTAGCATTGTTAATATTGAAATACTTCTTCCTTGCAACCAATACTTGTTTTGTGAGGTATGAACGAGATTTTTTAATTATATTTTATTTAATACATTTGTTTACATGTTGCATTATAATGTTATGGAATGTTAACAAATTATTATATGTTATTGATTTACCTTTTAAGAAATTTAATTAAAATTATAATATAGTAACGCTCAATATACATTTTAAAGGAATTATGGGTCGAAAAAAGAGTGGATGTGTGTTACAGGATGGAGTGAAAAAGAATTTAGCTGTAAACTTCACTTTGCATGACAAACTACACACACACACACTGTAAAAATGGACATTTAATTTTATTATTTACTAACAACAATGAGTCAAATGATAAAACTCTTAAACAAGTAGATGAGTTATTTTGTTTGAACACTACTAAACATCAACTCTATAATGTTATTAACACTAAAAAATTGACTAGAAATTATAAAAGGGATTGTACAAGTTTTATTGAATTTTGTAATCAGCCCTTTACACACCACACACCAAGCGTGTCAATGAGACAGGCAATGCATCTTGAACAGCCTAGTTCATTGGTCACAGTTGAAAAGTCTTCTGTTCTGTCATCCCATGAACATATTTCTATTTTATCTTCAGTTATTAGAGAACCTGAAAATTCCATTGAAAATGATACAAGAATGCATACATCAAGAGTACAGCTAACCCCTAAAAAAACAAAACTCATCACCAGGTTATCGTATTTATCTTCACAGTTAGTTAGCTCAACCAAAGAACACAGGAAAAAAATAGCAAAAGTTAAATTGAAATATAATAGCATGCCATATAAGCTAACAATATTAAAAAAAATATATCAAAAGAAAAGAAGATATTATTAAAGCTTTGAGGTCAGAAGTTAGAGAGTTAAAAAAAAAAATTAATACACATTATTACAGCAAGTTAATTCGCAATCTTAAAGCGAAAACAAAGGCATTGAAAATAAAAGAAAAAAAAAAAATTAATGCAAATTAAAGTAAGACATAAAACTGATGTTGATGCAAATAAAGTGTTCATTGCTCAATTAGGAAATGACATGTTACAAATAAAAGAGGGAAAAATTCCATATGTTAATATGTCAGAAGACGATAAGAGTTACCCTTTAAAAATGAGGATGATAATTTATAGCATGTTATTAGTTAATGTTCCAACAGGTAACATCAGAACCCTAATTTCTAAAATTGGCCAATATTTGGGTGTTAACTTTATGGATATTCCTCATCGTTGTACTATTATGCAAATGGCTTGTGAGCTTGGCAGTATAGCAGAACTGCAAGCAGCAGAATGGGCTATAAGTAATTCTTATCTTACTCTTGGGTTTGATGCAACAACACAAGAAGGTGTTCATATCAACACTGTTCATCTAACATCTAACAAGAGCTGCCAGGTCATTGCTCTGGACCAGTTACCAGGTGGAACAGCTCTTGATTATGAAAATCATATGTGGTGCAGTAGATCATTTAGCTTTTATTTATTCAGACTTTCACTTGATTACATTTAATAAATGCCGTAGTACAATCATTTCAAATATTTCCAACACAATGTCAGACAGAGTATCAGTTAACCATCTTACTATTTCCAAACTTTGTAATACCTGGGGGAAGAATTTGAATGAGCTTAATTGTCACTTGCACCCTTTAGACACAATTGCCATTTCATGTCGCGAAGCCTTGAAATCTCTAGAATTGGAACCTTGCAAATTGTTTGGATATGATTGTATGGCAGTCAAAATTGTGCTAGCAATGAACAAGATGAGGTTTAAGGATGGCAAAGGTGACCCACAGGGATTTGTTAATTTTTTAGACAATAATGAACTACCGCGAGGTATTATTCCACGGTATCGTGGAAATCGTCTGCACATTCTTTTTCATACTTGTTTTATTTTTATGAAACACTATACTGCTTTTCTACTTTATCTGACCACTGGAACAGTAAAATGTTTCAGTTTACAACCAATTCTGCGAGAAGCCTTTTGTAATGCAACTGCTATAAAACAAATGGGAGTGCTTGCACTATTTAGTAAACTTCTCAGTGGACCATGGATGACTAAGTTTTATGTATCAGCTGATGATGCAAGTTTTGATCATGTCACTGGTATCCAGGTAGTAAAAGATGTTCTAAAAGAAGTTACTAATTGCAAGTCTGATCCAGCTGCACTATTTTGCAGAGAAATTGATTTTTTTGGAAAAACCCTTGTCCCAAATATTTTACAATCTATTACAACTTTATGCCCCATTGATGAACAACTTGTTAAAATGACGTCTGCTTGTCTTAATGCAGTTGAAGAAGTCTTGACTCGTCAATATAAGAGATATTTCTCCCTTTCCATTTCAGCAGAACTCAAAAAGGAGACAGCAAGTGCAAGGCTTCACAATATAGATAGTGAAGAATTAATTGGTATGATTGGTGATGCCAAAGGACGTTGCCCTAATGCAACAATTTGTTATATATCTAGCAAATTACGATCCAAAAAGATTAGGACTATAGATTATCTTGAGAATCTTGAGGAGTTTTCTATGGAAAAGGTGATTAAATGGTCTATTTAAATGGCACGTAAAAAAAGAATCAAAAATCGACTACTACATAATGAAATTCGAGCAGAGATTACTGATAGACAGGCGTTCAAGCGCAAAAAAATGGACGAAAAACAAAAAAGAAAGTTAGAGCGTGAGCTGTGTTTATTAACTACCAGTGAAATGATGCATAAATATAAACACTTGTCTGCGAAACAACTAGAAGATTTAGATAATGTTTTGTCAGAAAGAATTGTTGGCAGAAAACTTGGTCATGAGTGGTATGATGCTGACTGTTCGAAATATGTCATTTATGATGGTAGAGTTGAAAAAGTAAACAAGAGCCAACAAGACAAAATATACACTATTTCTTACTAGAAAAAAGATGAAACTGATCTTGAAGCTGTTGAATATAAGATGAAAAAAATACAGCTTGCAGCTGATGTTATAACAGGAGAATTAATATTTTCTTAAATTAAATATGAAAATAATTTATATTATATATAATTATATTTATGTAATTAGAGATTAACAAAGAAGTACCGCAAGTTGTGTAGCTTGCAAATATGGTACAGCAAGTTGTGTAGCTTGCAAAAGGAGTACCGCAAGTTGTTTAGCTTGCAAATATGGTACAGCAAGTTGTGTAGCTTACAAAAGGAGTACTGCAAGTTGTGTAGCTTGCAAAAGGAGTACCGCAAGTTGGTACAGCAAGTTGTGTAGCTTGCAAATAGAGTACCGCAAGTTGTGTAGCTTGCAAATATGGTACAGCAAGTAGTGTAGCTTGCATATGGAGTACCGCAAGTTGTGTAGCTTGCAAATATGGTACAGCAAGTTGTGTAGCTTGCAAATATGGTACAGCAAGTTGTGTAGCTTGCAAAAAGAGTATCGCAAGTTGTGTAGCTTGCAAATATGGTACAGCAAGTTGTGTAGCTTGCAAAAAGAGTACCGCAAGTTGTGTAGCTTGCAAATATGGTACATAAAGTTGTGTAGCTTGCAAATATGGTACAGCAAGTTATGTAGCTTGCAAAAGGAGTACCGCAAGTTGTGTAGCTCGCAAATATGGTACAGCAAGTTGTGTAGCTTGCAAAAAGAGTACCGCAAGTTGTGTAGCTTGTAAATATGGTACAGCAAGTTGTGTAGCTTGCAAAAAGAGTACCGCAAGTTGTGAAGCTTGTAAATATGGTACAGCAAGTTGTGTAGCTTGCAAAATTTTTTTGATAGACGGCTTACCTTCTCGTGGTGTCTATTGTTAAAAATGATTTATTTAGTTTCATTTTAAATAATATCATTTAATAAAAGCCAAGACATAAATTCTATAATTTGTATTTTAAAACTTTTTAAAATATAAGTTTTAAAACTGTGGTTAATTTTTAGGGTGGATACTCCAACCTGCATCTTGTAATGTGGTAAGATTATTAAAGTTATGTCTCGCTTTTTACACAATTTAAAGACATTTTTGAAATTTTTATTGACATTATTTTAAAGTTTAAATAAGAAGAGGTGGGGGGGGGGCGTTGGGCGTGGCACACACCCCTCCCCTCACTAACATAGTAAAATAGTCTTAAATACTAATTTCTCTTTTTAAATAAACTCAGTTTAAAACCATTTTTTTAATATCTTTTATCTTTTAAAATTTTTTTTTTAGGTTGGAGAAGACTGAGAGGAAGGGGGGGGGGAGGAGCGTTAAGCTTGGCATCGTTCCGCCCCTAATGTCAATTTATGCACTAATTGTTTATTCTGTTAAGTAACAAAATATAATTCACTGATTATATTTTGTGTTAAAAGTCTTTAACACAAAATATAATCAGTGTTTTTTAGGCTCAAATTTTATAAGATGGTAACATTTCACTACAAGGGTGTTAAAACGTAACAAATACATCCACCTTTTAATCTAAAATAGACCAATAATATTTGGAAAAGTAATGGAAGCAAATTAGAACAATTTTTTGTGTATAAAGATAACAAATTTTATCAGCAAAATACTCTTTCGTTTGATAAACTTGCATTTTTTTTAAGGTTTCGATGGTGTTCCGTTACCCCCTCTGGCCCTCTAGGCACCCCTTTTATCTATAGAGCTATATGAACTTGTAGCCTACTATTACATCTATCTTTTGATACCAAGGTATAGGCATTTGGATAAGATTTGACAAAGTTATAACAATTTCAGTGAAAAAAAAATTAATTTTGGAACCAGTTTTTTCAAGAAATCCTTATATCGAAAATTTGCTTCTAAAAACGTCATAACTTTTTTTTAAATTGTTCGTTTTTAATAATTTTTTTACCATTAAAATACATTTTTGAAGGGCTTTCTAATGATATATAACATTCTAGTATATGTTCAATTAAAAAAAATCAGTCCACGTACCTATGTTATATATATATATATATATATATATATATATATATATATATATATATATATATATATATGTATGTATATATATATATATAACAATATATATATATATATACATAAATATATATATACATACATATATATATATACATACATACACATATATATATATATATATATATATATATATATATAACAATATATATATATATGCATAAATATATATATACATACATATATATATATATATACATACATATATATATATATATATATATATATATATATATATATATATATATATATATATATATATATACATATATACATATATATATATATATGTATCATGGCCTACCTAAAGTTTACGGTCTAATATTCTACATATTTGCCGAGAAAATAGAAGACCAGTTTAGAGTGCGGTTTTGAATAAGAATATAACGGTGCTGTATAAATTGAATCTTGTTATATTGAAAATAAAGAATGGTTAACAAATGTTGTTTTGCTGGCTGTTTTTCAAACTATTTTAAACGTGATGTGGTTCTAGTTTTATTATTTCCTGTACAGAAAGAATTAAGAACGAAATGGATAAAATTTGTAAATAGACTAAACTGGGTACCAACTAAGTCATCAGTTATTTGTGCAAAACATTTTCAGGAAAAATATTTAAAATATAGAGAACAAGAAAAAAGATTTCGTTTGATAAAGAGGTTAAAAGCAGTAACAACTGTACATCTAAGTGTTTTATCGAAATCATCTATACCAACAATAAATTTGGAAAGAAAATCTCAATCAGAACGAATATATCAGAATGATCAAAGAAGCAAATGTTTAAAAAATGATTTAATAAAAAATTTAAACTGTATTGTTATTATTCCATGTCAAAGTGGTTGACAAATGCTAAAAATATAAAGATCATATTGTATCTTAAAAAATGTTGTTTAATCAGTTTTCAATACCAGCTTATTGAGTGTATACGAGTTAATGAGAGTTTACACGTTAAACTATTTTATAAGGGTTGTTTAGTACCATTACCAAAATGGTTTTGTAATGGTCATAAATGTACATTAACTCGTAAAAGTATGTTTGAAAATTTTCCTGCTTATTTAAGAACTTAAGCAGAAAAAAATTTTTTAGGTTTAGAAGAGCTTGAAAAAATAAAATATCAGAAAAAACCAATGTACTCTGGTAAATTAATTCGATATGCATTATTATTGCGCTTTACATCTATGCAATCCTACAAAGTACTTTTAGAAAAATTTCGATTACCATCACTTTTTTTATTAAATAAAATTTGTTCTGGTAACATTGATGCACTAAAAGCTGCAAAATTATTACTTGTAAATGGCAAAATGTCACAAGACGTCAGCATAATATTTGATGAAATGTATATACAGAAATGTGCAGAATATTCTAGAGGAACTATAACAGGTGTTAACAGTGTTAGTGAACTTTACAAAAGTGTTGTTTGTTTTAAGATAAACAGTTTTAAGGAAAACACCACATAAAGGCTATTCCAGTAGTCCGAATTGACAGCGATTGGTTAAAAAATGAGATTCTTGAAACTTTGAATTTGCATAATAGTGGGTTTGTTGTGCGAGGTATTGTGTGCGATAATCATACAAGCAATGTTTCTGCATAGTAAATTGTTATCAGAATAAGAATATGGATTTAATAGCTTTTTAATTTTATATAACTGCAGAAAATTTTATTTATTCTACGATGCTGTTCATTTAAGTAAAAATGTGAGAAACAACTTGCTAAATCGAAAGAGGTTTATGTTTCCTCCATATAAGTTTATTAGCATTATAGATAAGGTTACAGTTAAAGGTGGAGAAGTATCTAGGTCTGTGATTTTTTTAAATGAGAAACATTACTATAAATGACATTATACAACATTTCTCAGTAATGGCAATGTATTATATAGGCATTTACATACGTTCAATGCTTACTTCTGACTTCTGATATCCAATGATCTTAAACCCGAAAGCGCACATCAACTTAAAAAAAAAAAAAAATTTAGGATCACACCCGACCAATTGTTTAATATATTGGTAATAGATTTTGTACAGCGCCGAGTTGAAGTCATAAGTGTATAACATATGGCGAACACAAGATATCTGTTCCTTTCACAATTATAATATACCCAGCCTGGCCAGTTAAAGAGCGTTATTGTTAGCTTTTATTTACAACCCAGACTGCAAGCGCACACTTTTTGTAATCAAATTTTGTAATCAAATCAAAAAGACAGTAAGCGCACACTTTTTGTAATCAAATGCGCATTTTGAAGAATATTAACAAGAAGATTAGTGATTTATCCTTGATTTTTGCAAATATTTCGTCTTAATTGTTACTAATTTGGTTCTGGAACTTCCCAAAGGGACTTCTCTAGAACTTCTCGAAAATCTCCTCTTCTATTTGAAATATTTCCTTCCGATGATGATGTTTATAACAAAGTATCAAGAAGAAAAGTTTTACTAATTATCAATATAAATATTTAGTTAGAATATGTCATAATTCGTGATAAAATACGATATCAGATAACTATTTTGTCGGATCTACAGGTTTACCACCTTCAGTAAATCAACCAGATAAGAGCTTTTCATTGACAAATCCTTCTTTAGTCAGAATATAGTTTCTTATATTACTATAGCTCAACTCAAAAATTAACTTTTAAGTTGGAAACGAGTTTTTTTTTAATGATCTGTTTTAAAGTTTTACTGATTTTGCCCTCATATTTGACAATCTCAAAGCATATTTGAGTAGCATGTAGGTACCTAAGTAATAATTTCAGATTGTTAAAATATCAGATTGATATATACCCTTTGTAAAGAAATTTTAAAGAATTTCCAAAACAGAAAATGTTATCAATATCGGATGCCTCTACAATAAGTTCTGAGCATTATAGAAACGAAATTTGAGTAAAGGGGTTCCTTAACAAAAATGTGACAAATTTGTTATAGTTTTGTAACTTAATCCGTCACAACATTGTCAATTCTTATCTAATTAAATATAATCTGGTATAAAAAGATAGGTGTAATCAAAAGATGGATGGTAATGGTACACACCTTAGTATCGAAAGATTCATTCTCCTAAATATTTATATAATTAGTAAAATAAATGAAAATGGTCTCAAATTATAATTTTTATAATTTATTAAATCATATATTAATGCCGTTAATAAACTGTTGGATGTGGAACATCCCCCCCCCCCCCATCACAAAAAAGTGTAATAACAAAAATCAGCAGCATAAAAAGTGGTGGAGTACGCTTCTTCAAAATCTTAAAACTTCAAATTTTTATGCTGCCTATAAATGCTCTAAATGCTAAAATAACAGGTATTGTCTGTCAATGACAATAAAGACAGCATTCAGACAAAAATCTAATGCTTCTCTCATTTTCTCTCTCATTTTATCAGTCTGTGGACAATAACCAACCATAGTAATGAAATTTGTGGACAATTACCAACAGTATAAATAAAAATTAGATCATTTCCAAAAAATTCTAACTTGTTAAATAAGAGCAAGTGGGTTCACGATAATCTCAACTAGATGGTTGCGAACATTTTTTAACACTTGGGTCTTGCTTGTAGTCGGGTTTGACAAGCTCAACATTAAACTTAGACCTCCAGGGACCAGTCAATAGCTTACCAATCCAACCCCTAAGGCACACAATTCAAGGCATTATTTAAATAAACCAAAGAAATATTTCACATAATGATTTATTTATCAACTATATATTAAATTTAACCTGCTTCCGAAGTAAAGTCTTAATACAGACTATTTCTCAGACAACCACATTAGTCACATTAGAAATAAGGAATGTCATCAATATACAATAGTTAATAATCAAAATCAAAATTTCACATGAATGAAATATGATGTAATCTATTTCCCCTTTAGCGTGGTAACAGTCCCCTTGGCAATTTGTGTATGTCCAAAGTGTATGGCAAAATGTGTATGTCCAAGAAGTTAACAAAACCTTTCAGGTCACCATCAATCAAAAAAATGAAGTTACACAATATAGAGCATGTTAAATTAAGTTGAAGAAAAGCATGTTAAATTAAGGCATCTGCTACTTTGTTAAAAATTTGTTTGAGTAAATTGTAAATTTACCTTTACCATCCTTGAAGTGTAGTTTATTAAACTGTTTAACAATGTTTGCTGCAATACATTCCGTGCCAAACACGGAATGTTTTGTTTCCCTTTTGATGTTTGCATTGCTTTAGATGAAGACTTGCAAACAGAGGTCATTGTATTCAATGGTTGAAGATGGCAATTTATTTGTTTAACAATTTCTGCCACAAAGTAATTAACTTAGCGACAGTTAAATGGTTTACTGCTACTCGGTCATTCATCGTATTACTCATTATATTAGCAATAATTAAACTTCGTACTTTAATATATTGTTGCAACTTAGCAAGGTGATCTACAAACTATTTAATATGACTCTGATAATCATTAGCTGTACTCCCTGCAAGTTCGTCAACAGCAACAACCATGCATCTTGTTTTGTTTGTAAAGTACACAGCATTTACATGGACACCCTCTTGTGTAGTAGCATCAAAACCCAAGGTCAAATTATTTGTTGCCATAGCTATTTCAGCAGTCTGTAGATCTGACTCCAAGCTTCACGCATCATCTGCTCCACAGTTGTACGATGTGGAATTTCTGTAAACCGATAGCCGGTAAATTCTCCAACTTTATGGAGCAGTGATGGCATACTATGTGTAGGCACATTACAAACAAGCATGTCATATATTAATGTCCTAATAATAGTGTAGAATTGTGTATACCTCGTATTCTGGACATGGTGCTGTATTTGCTCAACATCTTTAAAATTAGCAATTCGTTTTGAAGAATTTAAATCTTAGCATTTCTATCAGAATTTGATTGTGCGAAATAGTAACTTGATAAGTAAAATCTGTCTTATGCAAGGTTATTTGCTTTTTCAATTTAAGATTTTTATTTTGAAAACATTAAAGTGGTATGCTAAAACTCTGTTGATTTAATATATTTCAAACTTGCATGATTGTCTGTTTTTGCGAGGAAGTGTTTGATTCAATTGTCAAAATCTTTAAAGCCTTGACTTTATCTTTTCTCTTAATGCAGATAAAAAATCTTTATGCTTTTCACTTTTGTGGAAAAATCGTTTTCCAATATTGTTAATCTTCGTTTAAAAAATTATTTTCTTTTTACTTAACAGTCTCAATCGAGACAGTAATGGATGTGATTCTTCTGCTGTTATAATAACCTGGAAAAGATAATAAAAAAGCACCTAATTCAGTGGAAACCACAATGCGTCGAAAAAGAATACACGAAGAGTTAATATGTTAAAATTTCAATGAAACTTGCCCCAAACAAACTAATTAATAAAGAAAAACTATATATCAATTTGTTAGAAGTTTGTAATAAATAGAAAATTAAAGTGTTCTAAATCATTTAAACCTAAAAAGTCCTATCTCATACATATACTTTTTATAAGCAAGCAACTTGTATTTCTAACTACCCTCACTTATACTTTTTAAAACTCTCATAAATGCCTTTAAAATTCTCATAGATACTCTTTTAAAACTCTCATAAATACTTTTTAAAACTCTCATAAATGCCTTATAAATCTCTCATACATATCTTTTATAAATAAGTAACTAGCATTTATAAAAATGAAACCAGTATTTCAACCTCGTTAATGCTATTAAATATACTATTTAAGAACTGGAAAACATAAGGTGAACTAATTTAATAATCAATAACTATCAATAAAGTCAAGGAAAACAGTTTAAATAAACTAAAACAAAAATAGTGAGTGAGTATGTATAATACTCTTAACATTTGTTTAAACATTCAAACAACAACTTTTCATTTATTTGAAAATTGAACAACATTTAAAATATT